CCCTGTGCATAACCACCTATTCTGCAGAATCCGTTCTGGTGCACTTTGACTGGGCACCCCTGGCTGACACAGGGACCGGAAGGCCCGTGCAATGGCAAAAGGCGCGTTTGGCAGTGCAAGTTGATTGACTTCTGGATCCAAAAAATGTTGAGGCTTTGAAGGGGGAAATCCCCACCAGCGCAAGTGTCTGACTTCCTTGAATCTGCTGGCTAACCGGCGATGCAGCATTCAATCGAACGGGAAAAAAAGGACCGCTATGTAGAGCCTGTTCCATTCACATGGCTTGTTAAAGTTGATGCAAGAGCGCGTGTGGTGAAGTGTGTGCAACCCATGTGACACCTAACTTGCACCCAGCACACAACTTGTAGAGATTCATGTGATTTGGACTTCTGACTTCTGCTTGGTTGCCACTGGGTTCCCTCAGTGCATGCGTCTGTCAATGTCTATCAATGTGATTCCAACTGGCTTTGTCAGTAGATTGCGTAGATCGTCTTTGTCTATCGGGCATTTGCAACGCATGCAATTGCAGAGTGCAAGCTTCTGTCAGGCTGCTTAAAATGCTGCGGCGCATCATCGGTAAAGGGATTTTGTTCTGACCATTGCAATGTTGGTAACTTCCTCCTGAAGTGATGCGAATTTTTTCCGAAGTATTCAACTCTGAAGATTTTTCCGACCGCATCTCTTTTTGCTGACTCGGGGCGCACGACCTCAGATGCCGCAACGCCGCTTTCGGGCGCTCAAGGTGAGGAGACCGAGACGTCAAGTTGGCCATGGGCCTGATGCCGTCATGGACCGAATTTGGCACAGCTGGGTGTAACGTTTCCGAAACTTCGTCCCTATAGTGAGCCACGTGTTAATTTGTTGCTACCCTTTGCTACGCTATGCCGGACTATTGGCATCTCTTGATGATTCACAAGTACATGTCAAGTGCAGGATGCCTCTGTGACTAATGCAAACAGCTGTACAAATCAATATACTCTATGGTGGGCCGTGCTTACAAATAGGGAACCCCATGACCCCGCAAATTGCTGTAGGGGTTTTCAGTGTCTTGACTTTAGACCGTGGTCAGTTTTCAACACTTGCAAATGTCACAATACTGCCAGTTACTACAAGCTACGTCGTAAAAAGATGGAAAAAGTAGACCGGAAATCTCCAAATCCCAAGACACTGGACATCCAGAAGAAACCGGATAGAAAATGGGTTTTGGTTTGCGTCCGGAAGCAAATCCTCACCACCCAGGTGCTGGCTGACACCAACATGGCCAAGGCGCGGGCTTTTGCACCGATGGAACTGATCTGGAAAACACGATCCGGAGCTCTTCTTCTCACCCTGTGCATGTTGAAACCATAGGACAAGGACTGGGGATATTTTCGTGGAGTACAGTATAGGGCTACAGCAAGTGAACAGTGAATTAAAGAATCGGACAAATCCCGGAAAATCTGGGGAAATGTCAAGACAACGAACTGCCGATGGGAAAATTGATGAGGTCCAAGGATAGAAATCACCGAATAGGTGGGGACAATTGGCACAATAAATTGAGGAGCTCAAAACATTTTTTTGGCTGGAGTGGGGCAAAAGAAACACGTGGAAAACAATGGTTCTCCATGAATAAGCTAATGCAAATAAAACAAAAAGACATTTGCCACGTTTATCCATGTTTCATACTTTTCTTTATTCTTTCAGTTGCACATGTTGTTCATTATGTTCATCGTGTGTTCACCTCGTGTGACATGGTTTTCATCATGTTCATCACGTGTTCATTCTTTTTGACATGGGTTTCATCATTGTTCTTCATGTGTCATGGTTTTTGACATGGTTTTCATCATGTGTCTTCATGTTTTCATTGTTTGTTCACTTGCATGGTTTTCATCATCTTGCTTCATGTGCTGGCTGTGAATCAACCCAAAATGTCACGTTTGTTTTGAAAAAACATCAGCCCCAAGAAAGCAGGAAACAACCCTCACATTTACCAGAATTTTGAAGAACATCCTGGTTCTTGGCATTAATTTGTTTTTTCGTTTGCTGTCCAAAGGTCCTGCCACATTTTCCCATTCCAACAACTGTCTTGACAGCGAAAGAAATTGCCTATCTTGCGCTCGTTGATGCAAAGACACTCCCTATAAAAATGGCAAAAATACACCACAGAAAGCACCTTTTGGCTGAGAGTGACTGCGTGTGTGCCTGCCTTTTTTTGGGACCAACATGTCATTTGAGGTGAAAAAGAAGCAGCCGGCATGTCAAGACAGTTTGCTAGATATGGCCCGAGTCGATTTCAAGCCATCCATCCAAAAATAGCCTCGCCACACTAAAACCATGCTAGGTTCACATGAGGCCAAACAGGGCCCATACAGCAAGCGCAAAGCAGAATCCATCATTGGAGTGAAAAAACGAGGCTCATGGCTCTGAAACAGAAAGTTCCAGTGCCTCTGAAGCAAACAAAAATGCGGGTAAGGCCCAAGTCATTGGTGACGCGGCATATTCCAAAATGATGGATGGTTTGCTGAACCAAAATTAAGATCTAAACCAAATAGCATTTGGCATTTCGAGAAAACATGTTGATTGAATTATTGATGACTTAAAAAGCCTAGACCAACCAAAATAGGCATTCCAGCACCAGAAAAAGGCGGAAAAAAAGATGCCATGCCTTGTCAGATCCCAGGTCCTTCAGACAGAGAAACCTCATCCGGAATGGCACGGTGTCATCCATTGAATCCGTAGCAGGGGTCTTAAACCCGGAAGATGTGGACAGCTCTTGAATTCAAGCTGTCATGTGTCATGCGGGTGAATGAGAGGACATTCTGATTCCTATACCTGGAAGTTTCACCTGCGAAACAGGAAATTGAAGCAAAATGATTTGCCGTACCACGGTGGTTGTCATATTCCCTTTGTAATATGACCGGTTCCTTGGGGGGCCGGATTTAAGTCTCAAAACGAGACCCCCCCCAGGGCAATTGGACATGAACCTCCATGAAATCAACCGCCGTAGGTTCAACGGCAAACAAAATCAACTATGAAATCAAGTGGCCCAAGGAACCGTTGAGCACATTCATTTGTCTCAAAGTAGGCCTGAATAAAGTCATACCTCCCAAGTCAAACAAGTTTGGGATATTATTTTGCTTATGCCCTGACCCTGGTATCTGACTGACTGTGGGGGTGATGATTCTAGAGTGCCAAAAGGTGAGGGTCTACGCGGACCCAAATTCCATTCCAAACAAAGAACATCCACTCAGCGCCGAGTGCAACCCCTGCACTCGATCAGTCAGTTTAAAGTCGTATGTTGGAGCCTTCCTATGTTACGCATGACGCATGTGAAGAGATGCTTTTCCATTTTTCTCCAGGTCAGTTCAACTTACTGTTATAACAATAGCTGCTTTTCTATATCATCTAAATTGAATCTATACCGTGTATACCATCATTTGTTATGCCCATGTTGGGTCATGTTGGCCCTACTCTAAACCATCTAGATGTAATTATATATAAATATACGTATATATAAGAAACAATGTTCATCTGGCACCCGGCATTGGTTGCCAGGTAAACACGTTATCCTAGGCCCGCTTGGGAAATGTTGGACATATTTTTTGACACGTTCAACCCAGATATGAGAAACCTTACCTCTGGGGTTGAAATAAACTCCTGCCAAGGGGGGAAATGTCACCCCAACCTTCTGTTGAAATAAAATCATCGACATGTCAAACCTTAAAATGACATTCCCAGGGCAATTTAGAAATAAGACTATAAACAAATTCAAGCGGCGCAAGTTTGACAGCAAAAAAACTCTAAAATTAGCTGGCCACGGGAACGGTTGGATCTATTCATATGCGCACAAGTAGGTCTCTCAGTCCACACCTCCCATGTCAAACAAATTGCAATATTATTTTGCTCTGATTGAGTCCGGGGATCACGCTTCAATAGCGCCAGAAGGCCCCATTTCAAACCAAGAACATCCAATCGGCGCTCAGCGTGACGCCAGGTCACTCCAAGTTCCTGCTCTAGCTGCTTTTCTATATCATCAATATTGAATCAATTTTTACGCCCGTGTTTGGCCTTTCTTGGGCTATGTTGGGACATGTTGGCCCTATGCTGGGCCATCTGGATATATGATGACATATGTGTTTTTTTGAAGGTCCAAAATAAGCGTGTTCATCTGGCACCCGGCGCCGGTTGCCAAATGAACAGGCTTATCTTGGGCCCACCTGGGGAAGGTTGGGGGTATTACATTGTTTTGCTCTGTTCAACTCAGATGTGAGAAACCTCTGGGGTTGAAATAAACTCCCGTCAGGAGTCAGGGGCGTCAAATTCGTTTGGAGTTTGCCCCGCCTGAGTCTCGGACTCACCGAGTCGATGATACCGAGGTGTGCGAGACATGGCTCCGGCAAGGGCAGAGAAGGTGGAGCAAGATCCAAATTATCCAAGTCGTCTGTGTTTCAAAACTCTTCCCACTGGATCAAGAAACCGGTTGCTAAGTTGCGATTCGTTGCAAGATGTGAAAGGGCCACTGCACAGCAAATTGTCCATCAAAAGCTTTTCAGCTTTATCAATGCTCTAAAGAAGGACAAACGTGTGTGAAGAATTTCACTGATCACCAATCACCCTGTGGTGGATATCCATATTGCACTTATATAAAGGCTTTGTGGCCTGTAGTCTTTGTGTGGGAACTCGTCTGCTCACGGCTGCAGAATCTCTTGCTTGCGAAGGATAACAAGAACAATCAACCTAAGGGTTTTGGGTTTACAGGTCGGGTCCTGACACAGATTTCCCTGAAATTGACAATTGACATCAATTGACAATATCTTTGTTGTAGGATGATTTCCGAGTCACTGCCGCGGGACCAAACAGCATGCTCCACAACGGTGATCCGGGCAAGACATGACGCGATCAATTCGACAACACTTTGTTTCATGAAGGATCGCTCTTCAATTCAAAATGCCGACTTTGGGCCCTATGGATACGGGTGAAACGGGATAGATATTGACAACTGATCATAGTTTCTTGCGATGTCAAGCAATGCTACAATTTTCTCTGGTGCGTGACCTGCAAGCCAGCCAGTAGAGACTTGCGGAACAAAATCTGAGCTTTCTGAAACAAATCAACCACAAATCCCGCTGGCAGCATGATTGGAGCCCAAAAGTCAAACCAACTCAGCATGTTGGAAAACTGCTGTATATCGGTAGTGCAGGACAATCTGGCACGTCCATCCCTTGCTAAACCCAAGCTGCAACAAGTCTAGAATTTCAAATGGATAATCTTCCAGCGGGTCAAAGCAGCAAAACAATCTTTAAATCTCAGTAAAGATCTTCAACTTGTCGTTAGAAAAAAAACAACTTGCAGTGAAAACCATGTGGCCAGTGAGCGTCTTGAAAGCAATTTGTGGGTTTTCCCACCGCCTTACTTGGAAAAGCTGCAAGTTGCGGCGTCTTGCTTGGGTCTTTTCGTGCTCCGGCCCATGCAGCCCCTGCCGTCAGGGGTATCATGGACCGAGTGGCTTGAAACCTGTCTGGATCTGTCGAGATTTTACGTACCTATACTTCTAACAAGTACAGCCGTTTTATTTCCAGTTGATGTGTGCAAGCAGGCTTGAAGTCGCAGCGGACACCATGGAACTATTTCCTGTTGGGAAAACTAAGCGAATATATGCAAATATATGGATTATTTGAAAATGTCCAGGAGGAATGCAGTAAGTGTCTCTGACGGTTCACAGTGCGACTCTGACCTTGAGACTCTAAAATCAGCTATAGCCGCGAAGCCCACTCTGTATTGGCCAACCGGTTCAATGGTTTCATGTTTAAGCCACACTGATAGCTGACAGCAAGCCTGAACGTGCAACACTGAATGCCATGGCACCAAATGCCAAAAAAAAGGAAAACATAGAAACAGGCCTCAGGCCCCTTGCAAAAAATGAATACGGCTTGAAGATGCCGCATCTTTGATGGAATTCAACCACAGGCGACCTCGACCGATGTACGAGTACCTACAGTACTTCCGGACTCCAAATTTCGTCATGTCTGGATCGAAGGCCACCAGGCGGAAAATCCACTATTCCCGTGTAACCCTGGCAGAGGCCTCCAGGCCACGCAACTCGCGGAGATAAAGCTGCCCCGCCTGGACGTGATGCGGTGCACATGGTGTGTGGGCCCTCGGGACCCGAGCTGATGACGCACCTTGCAACCGCATCACTTGGCATATCTCAATGTCGGTTGGGCATACCCAACAAGAATGTCACTAAACCTCGTCTAGAAAGCTTTGAAGACACATCTTTCAGTGTATTTCAAATCGCTCCCGCACATTTGCCAAAAGTGAGACCTGCTCAACCACAACTATTCCACTATTCGACTTCCATCAACCACAACTTCCCACATCTACATCCCCTCCAAGCAGAACCGCCCAAAGCAACGCCACAACTCGAATGAGAAGCCCTCGCCTCTGAGACGGAGCCTTTGGCCTCCAGAAGGTTTGCCAGATTCCAGACGGAGCTGAGGGTGTCCGGATGCAGGGGGCCCAGCTGATCTTCGGATCCCGCCAGGGCCCTGCGATGGAGCTCCTCCGCCTGCAAGGTGGGCTGTGGATGGGCGACAGCAGGGTGGCTTCCTATGCCGTGGCGAGATGGGCCTAGTGCTGTGATCCGCAACCGGTGAAAGGTAATGTGTTGGTGACGTAGTGTGGCACATTGATTCTTCAAACACCAAAACCTGCAAATCTGATCTGCATAGGATGGGATGGTGGGAACCACGAAGCCAGGGTGAAGGCTTTTGTTGAACCGCGTGCAATCTGGCACACATGATCGATGCATCAGCCAAAGCTCTCTATGCAAAGCCATTTCTTGCAAAACAATGTTGATCTACCCCTTTCACAAAATGCAAGTTAAGGCCAATCTGGTACCTACAGCCGAAGCTTGGATTCCGGAGAAACAGTTTCGTGACTTGCAACCCTGGCACGTCCCGCTTGCTTGGCCAGCGTCTTGTGGGGTCATTTCATAAAATTCTCCGGCGACAATGCTGTGGGACATTAAATTTCAAAGCAAACTTACCAAGACGAGTCCCACAGCAAAATCAAACTTCTCATAAACAGAACTTTTGAATTGCTCCGGTGAAACTTGGAAACAAGAAACTCACCAGTCCCTTGCCCTGGCCACTCGAGAACTGCCTTCCCCTCGACACTTCCGCAACCTCTGCGTGCCCCAAGCCCCAACGACCTCATCCCCGCCTCCTCCAACTTGCCTTGCTTCTCCAAGACAAGGGCCAAGTTGTTCACCCAGACGAGGGTGTCGGGGTGTTGGGCTCCCAGTTGGGACTCGCCGCCTTCCAAGGCTCGGCGGTGCAGCCCTTCCGCCTCGCGGCTCGAGGTGGAGCACTGAGGTGGTGAAACATGAGAAGAGCTCCAGGTCCCGTGGTTTCATGGCTGATTTATGGGAAAGAGTAAAGGTCAACGAGGGCCACACTTCTTGGACTTTAATGAGAAAATACTATTCCACGCACCTGTCAAAAACTGTGAGAACTCACCACAATCAGCTTTAGATGATCACCAAAATCATTCACAAAACACTATAAATTCAGTCCGGGGTGAAAGAAGGCCTTCTGACTTGCTTGGCCCCTATCTTTGGTGGTTAACTCAATAATTTCACAATAAATTCACCAACAACAATGCTGTCCAAACCTCAATTTCAAACGGTTCCCCCTGGCAAGAAATGCTTCCCCATCAAACTCAAATCAAAATCTGTCCGTACATCAGCCTAGGCATCAATTCACATTCCCAAATTGCTCCGGTGAAACTGGGAAAAGAAAACTCACCCGTCTCGTCCTGGCCACATGAGAAATGCCTTCCTCCCGCCAGTGCCAGGAAGGCCACCTCTCTGCACCCCAACGACCTCGGCCTGGCCTCCTCCAACTTGCCTTGCCTCTTCAAGACAAGGGCCAAGTTGTTAACCAAGACGAGCGTGTCGGGGTGTTGGGCTCCCAGTTGGGACTCGCCGCCTTCCAAGGCTCGCCGGTGCAGCCCTTCTGCCTGGCGGCTCGAGATTTCAGCGCTGAGGTGTGGAAACATGAGAAGAGCCCCAGCTCAGGCCCCATGGGTCATGGATTGAGAAGAAGAAGCCAACAAAGGCCACCATTTTTGGACTATAGTGAGAACATACTATTCCAAGCGCTCGTCAAGCACTCTTTGAATTTAGGGGATGCCAAGAAGCATCAATGTATTCAATTTACTCCCAGTGTTTGCTCACATTGGTGGCCCGCTCTCACGAAACAACCCTGGCGCGACCACGGAGGTGGCTACGGCTCGGATGATCGGTCATCATCTCAAACATTGTCAAACGCGATCGAAAATAATCAACGGATTAAAATTGCTAAGGGCCTCGAAAAGCCCTGCCGAGCATGTAGGCAGGCTAGATATGGCTAGATTGCATATAACAAGAAAATACAGGAAATACTCCCTTCACAGGTTCAGCTGACCTGGTGATGCTGTCACAGTCAAACAGGTGCCTATGCGGCCAACTAAGATCATACATCTCACAAGAATTTGCAAACTTCAAAAGCCAATAGGGATGTTGAGGCTGTACCTGTTGGCAACCTTTTGGCAAGCTGCGTTTTGTTCAGCGTTTTGAAGACTTTTCGCAAACCACTTTAACGTGCTAATTCACGTTCATAGCTTCAGGCTTTCACAGATTCCTCACAAACAACTGACACACGATCATTCCCATCTAGCTGATTTTGATCCTGCTGGGGGTACGTCACACTCCTGGGGCACTCATTGCCCGCTTTCGTCATCGTTCTCAAATCAATAAACTGTATGTGGCCTCAGTCGCCCATCTGGAAATATGCTGCATGCGTTTTATCGTGATCCGGAAACTCTTGCACATAGAATCAAGAGTCCGGGTTAAATCCATTGAAGAGGTTTTGGTATCGTGAAGAAGGGTCTTACAAACAGCCTTGGCTGACTGATTTTGGAAACACAAAAATCTAGGGCGTGTGTTGAACTGCGCCAAATTAGTACAGTATTGACATCACTCATCATCACTATGATGTTGTGTTTCCCAGTGTGATGTCACAAGCCGTACAGTCCTCTTTTGCCTAACAAACCCCAAAGATTCTTCAGTGTCTTGAGGTGATGAACTCTGTTTGAAAGGAGTTTGTACTTTTCTTAGTTTCCGCTGAGCCTTCATAGTTAAAATTAGATTGCGGGAAAATGCAAGCGACTGATGGGTTCCCAAGTGTGACTCTCGGGAATTGGAGGACAGATCCTTGGCACCAACCCTGATGCACATTGCATGTATGGATTTCATGCCCGAGCAATTCAACTAATGAATTTGGGCGAAACTTAGGAGATGCACAAATTGGAGACATGGAAGTGTCCACTCTTCCAATCTTGTTTACTTCAAAAAAAGCGCCTTCCCCTTGGAACTTCCACGGGGAAGGTCACCTCTCTGCCCCTGACCTCGGTCTGGCCTCTTCCTGCAGATGCCATACTTTCATTCAGCATGCGCCTATATAGATATATTTATACTACAGCCATCTATAGGCCTCATTTGCAAGAATTCACCGGAAAGATTTGACAGTTTTGCCATGTGTTCATTTTGCCGATTACAACTATGAAATGTGGATGGAGGTCCCAACGATGCATTATGCCCCAAAAAAGGTAATCCAGCAATATTGGGACATTGACAAGAGAAAATCCAGGCCTCAGGCCTTGGCCAAACAAAAATATGCCCTTGGTGAAACGTCCAGTAAGGTCACCTCTCACCCCAAAGACCCTCAGCCCCGCCTCATCCAGCTTCCCCTGCTTCCACAGGAGGGCAGCCAGGTTGGACATGGAGTTGAGCGTGTACGGGTGATTCGCACCGAGGTGCGCTTCGTGCCCTGCAAGAGCTCGGCGGTGCAGGGCCTCCGCCTGGCGTCTTGAGATGATGGCGTCGGTGGTGTGGGGCCCCAGGCCTGGACCGCCTGTGAGTACTATGTGACCATGTGGGAAAGGAAGAAAGATGAACAATGGCTTTGTGTTTGGATTGATGTAAAAAATTTTAAATACAATTGTGCATATTGTGCCATGTAAGATGCACACATAATTCAAAGCTGATTCAAAGCTTGAAGAATAAAACACAAAGGTCGATGAGTTGACATGTTCAACAAAATTTGGATGTGAGTCATCTTCGTTCCAATCTTCCCGTTGTGAAAATATCCAAACTCAGAAAACAAAAAGAATCATCCAACAATACCGGGAAACAAAAAGAATCTCCAGGCTTCAAGCCTTGGTCAAACCAAAAAATGCCCTTGGTGAAACGTCCAGGAAAGTCACCTCTCACCCCAAAGACCTCAACCTGCATCCGACCCCAGGGAACCAGGGGGAGCGCGTCTGAGAAGCAATGCCAAATGGCAAGAAAGAGGGTGCATCTGCAAAATTACTTCGTTGGTCTTCATTGAATTCGGTTGGCAACACTATCCTGTTGGTGACTTCAGAAGCCACGCAGTTCCTTGCTGGTATAGTGAATCTTGAAAATTCTTCAGGTTTGATGAACTCTTTTGAGAGTGTGATAAAGGGTGACTATACTTTCATGAGATTTTGCCGAGGGTGGGCACATGGTCAGGAGGTGTGGGAAACAAAAGCCAATAAATATATAAACAAAAGCCAAATAAAGCCAATAAATATATGAAACTAACAATTTTGTGGATGGGGGGTCTCAACAACGTCCTACTTTCATTTGGCATGGATTTAGTTAATTTGTGTTAGTTCGCTCAAGAAAGCAATCCAACCAATACCGGGAAATCGAAAAGAACGAATCCAGGCCTCAGGCCTTCGCCACACAAAAAATATGCCCCTGAAAAACGTCCTCCAGGAAGGTCACCTCTCACCCCAAAGACCTCAGCCCCGCCTCATCCAGCTTCCCCTGCTTCCACAGGAGGGCAGCCAGGTTGTTCATGGACTCAAGCGTGTCCGGGTGATTCGTGCCGAGGTGCGCTTCCCTCCCCGCAAGAGCTCGGCGGTGCAGGGCCTCCGCCTGGCGTCTCGGGATGGCACCGGTGGTGTGGGGCCCCAGGCCAGGATCCGCCTGTACCATGTGGAAAGGGAAGAAAGGTGGGCAACGGCCTTGAGTTTGGATTGATGAAAAAGATGTCAAGTACAATTATACCATGTAAATGCACACATAATTCAAAACTTGAAGAATAAAACGCAAAGTTCGACGAGTTGACATTTCAACATAATTTGGATGTGCGTCATCGTCGTTCCAATCTTCCATTTGCAAATAAACTCCAACCTCAGGGCGCATCTGTTCTGTTTTTTTTGCAAAAACGCTTTGACAGACATCTCAGACTGAAACTTGCAACGCGGCATCTGCTCTTTGCAAACATCTTTTGCTAAACTTTGACATGTCCATGTTTTGGCGCCTCCATATATGACGAGATTTGAAATTATTTGAGATGATTTGCGTGAAATTGACATGTTCATGCATCATCGCATTTCTACATGATGGCAAAGTCTGAGATGATCTGAACATGTGGTTGTTGTTTTTTCTGCTGTTTTTCTCAACTTTTCCTAACACAAAATGCAACACCATCCACCCGCCACGGTGACTGCAGCACAGCACATCAACGGCGCCTCGCCAAACTTCCCCAGGTCCTGCAGCACCGACGCCAAGTTGTTCACCGCGATGAGCGTCTTGCGGTGCTCGGGGCCCAGCTGCCGCTCCCGGGCCTCCAGGCCTCGGCGCCGCAGCGGCTCGGCCTCCGCCAAGGCGCCGCGGGCCTCCAGCACGTACGCGAGCCTCGGCCGTGGATCGCCACGGGAGCCGACAAGTTTCCACGGCTCCGTGGAGAGAGGGCACATTTTTTCACTATTTGTGGTGTCGTGGCATATTTCTGGATCCAAGTCCCTGGTGAGAAAACGAGATTCCGGGATTCGAATTGTTTTGATTTCATTTGAGCAGTTGCTATAGGCTATACTTTTTGATGCTATTTGAGCTTGTTGTAAATACTGTTGCCTACTGCAATCTACAGCTTTCACTTTTGCGGCTTTGCGGCATTTCTGGATGCAAATCTCTGGTGACAAGACAATACAGTTCTTGACTCAACAATACATGTTTGCTAATGTGTTGGCCTCTTTGGGGGGACTGAGGTCCGCACCGGCCCAGTGCCTGAAGTGCAAAAAGATCCTCAGGGCCCAATCTTTTTGCCGTCGCATCTGCACGGCACCGCAGCCTTGGTCCATGATGATGCCTATCACATGGCCGTGCCTATCACATGGCAATGCGGTGGCCAACCATGTCACCAACATGGAAGACAAATCAAGTTCAAGAGAATGGCCAACGGTACGCAAAATCGTCAAGGTGTGGGACGGCTCCCGGCTTCGGTCAGAAGCTGGCTACTGGGCTGCAATCCATGGTCCCTGCTTTGCGGGATCTTCAACCATATGTTTTTACGTTTGTCCTAAATGGAGCGGGTAATTCAAGTCAACTCATAGCATAGTCAATAGACATGGCATAGACGAATATAGCCGATAGATACTATAAAACTCGAAGTGGGCCGTACTCAAGAAATCTCAGAAGGCAATGTCGCGCGGGCACTCCTGAAAGAGTTTCAAAGTTCCAGAACCTGAGTCACGCCTTCTCCACATCTTAAAGTGAATGGTCAGGTGGCAAGATCAAACATCAAGCGATTCTGCTCCATGCCTTTACTCCCTGATGCTTTCAATTGCAGGACAAAGAGCCCGAGCCAGGACAAACAGTGTGTTTATCTTGCGGTGTACCTTTCTAGATCTGGAGTGCAAAATACTGGATTGACAAGCGCCCCCGCTCTCGAAACAGAGCTTGAGCTTCGTGCTTTCTGTTTGGTATCCATCCTGCCACGACCATTATACTTTGACCCACAGGAGAGGTTCCGTAAACTTGCCAGGGAGCGACGTGACCAGAGATCCCGGAAGAAGGAAAGGCAAGATGAGAGCAAGAGAGCAGCTAAAACAGCCCGCAGGGCTGCATCAAAAACACTTGAAACTTTTGAAATCACGTTGGCTCTGGTCCAAATCTATCGAAGGGACCAGTGTGCATCTCGAACTTGAGAATTCATGAAAAAACAAAAACTTGTCAGCCCTCTGGATCATTTTTCTAATAGAAGTCTTGAACTCGGCCCACCTGATTTAATCCTACTGGACGAATCCTAACTCCTGGATATGGCAAGCTCAAAGGACCAAACCCCTGGATTGAACAGCCATAACCCTGGATGGCAAGCTGACTCAAGACCCAAGCTCCAAGCCCCTGAAAGCAGCCAGGCTTCGTGTCCAGCAGCACTGCGCTGGCATGGCCCACTTCCTCCTCCCTTTGAGCCCGGATCACGACGCACTGCCTCTCTGGCTGCCCACGTTCATTCAGCAGCTTTCCTGCCAGGTTCCTGCGCCACAGGCTTGAAAGCAACGTTTAAATGGCGTGCTCATCAGATTTCACATGAAGCACTCAAGGACTGGGCCCCTGGCACGCCGGGAGGCTTGCCCTGGCCCCGCAGAGCAAAGATGAGTCACAAGCCAAGTGCTGCAGAAAATGTCCACGCGAAATCGGTTTCGCTCCAGGCAAAGCATGCTACCAGCCTCCTTCTGCATCTCCGGCGTCTGTTGAATCGAAACGTCGTAGCATATGGCAGAGTTGGCTAAGAGTGGAATACAGTAAGCCACACGGGAGGAATACTCCTGCATGATTGGATCTGGGTTTGTTAACCTCCAAACAATGACGATGTGCACATCCAAAAATTGCACCAAAAATGTGGACAAGAAATGCGGCACCTAAGAAAGGCACACTCTCCTCGTCCGCTGCCTCACGGCCTTTCGATTCAACATCCCTCTTATGCATATTCCGATAGTTATTGTCAATCAGCGTGGCCACGTCTGGCCATTCATCCGGTGCCCTTCTGACACTGTAAACGCCTCGTCAGAGTTGTTTGCAGTGGACACAAGGGTCTGCAAATGCTCACGTTTTGTCAGCTTTGATGAATGTGACCTTGCCTTGTCCCCACCACGCATTGGCCTTCGGACCAGTGGTGACCAACGAGGCCTTTGGATGCTCAAGGCTGTGGCCATCGGCAAGGTGAGCGGGCAAAAAGACACATGACATCACATGACATGCTGATTGGCAACTGAGTGCAGCACGAAGACTTCAACGGCTTTCTTCTGTGGAGCCGTGATGTTTCGGAACCCCAACTGAGTCGTGTAATGAAAGAAGCAGTCCACTGCGCCACTTCCACCGGACTGAGTCAGGTCCAGGGCATCCTGCCACACCTGCCAGACCTGCCAGGAGCTGCTGCTGAGGGGTTGGAGCGAGTCTGCTGCGTCACAGCGTGGCAGGACGAAATGCGTCAAATCGCGCCGGCCGCGCCTTGATGCCGGAGCTCTTGTGGATCCAGCACCATTCGTCGGCATCGTGTTCGTAGGCGTCGTGCTTGAAGACACCGCCGCCCTTGTAGTCGTTCCTGAAGTAGGCCCTCAGACTGGCCTGAGGCATCGAGCGTGCTTCCAAAAACGCATGTTCATGACTTGTCCGTGCAGCTTCCTTGATTCCACAAGCAGTTAACTGCTTCGACTGGAAATATCCTAAAGCCTACTGGTCATGGTATCATAGGCCCTCCTTTGAACCAGTATAAGAGCTTGCCGCAATAAAGATGCTGGAAGACACACATCGAAAGGTCCATTTGGTTCGCACAACATCAGCTGTCAAGATCTGTCAAGTGTAAAGGTCATTAACATTGGAGTTTCAAAGGGTGAAAAGACAAGCTCAATGAAATTTCTGATTGTGGAATGGGCCGTTTCTTGAGACCTAAATACTTGAAAAGTGGACAACTGTCTGTTCAACTTGCCATTGCTGCAATGAAGCTCTAGTAAGCATCCTGGCGGTGGTGAGAATGCTTTCCTCTTCTTGTATCTCATCACGTTTGATAAACACTTGGAAACTGAAAGGTTGAGTTGAAGCTAGTCCAGGGTGTAGCCTCCACCACTTCAATCTTTCCTGGATTCACGTCAGCCTGCTCAAGAAAAGAAATTCCACAGAGGTCTTGTTCACAACACGTCCACTAGAAATCCACTAGAAATCCACCAGAAAGTAGCTCAGTTGGGTGGCAGGAACCGATTTAGTATAACATAGCCGTGCAAGAGTGAGGGACGACACGGCACCTACCGACCTAGATATCATATCTTTGGATACCACGAGAACGTCAGACAAAGCAACTGTGCCCAGAGCCTCGGTCTTCGCTTTGGTTGCCCCGGCTCTGATGCCATCCCGCTGTGCCTCACACATGCTTTAAGTTTCTGCGGTACTCAGGTTTGGTAAAGCTTGGAAGTTGAAAGATTGCCTCCACCACTTCAACCCCTCTTGGATCCACATCAGCCTGCTCAACACAGCTTCCACACCAGTCCTTGTTCACCACACTTTGAATCGAAATCCTTTAGATTAGTATAGATTAGTGGTGTCCAAGTTGCATAGTGGGTCGCAAGCAGGGAATTTGGACGGCAGAATTTGATCTGGTTTGAAGCTGTTGTCCGCTTGATTCCGGAGGTATACAAATGCCGCAAAAGATCTCAAAAGTGTGAGGGGCGAGAACCAAAGGTGGATTTAGTAAGGTTCTTTGCGCTGATTGGTGGTGCTTCTATGTTTTAAGACATGGTTATAGTGTTGGTTTTTAACATATGTTACAAGTCATTCAGGGATATGTATGTGTTGCCCAAAACTCTCTTGATTTAACATATTGGAGAAAACGTATTGCTTCAAACATGTTTGTCTTGTTTAGATGTTACTGTTTCCATGATCGACTCATGTAAATTCATATGTCACATGCCTTGCCGAAGGCTAAACCCTCCTGAGCAAAGATCATTTACCAGTGTTTCCATAATGAATTCAGATTTCCTGTCCTGGCCAAGGAGGTACACCTTCCTGAGCAAGGATTTCATTCACAAGTTTTCATTATCACACCTCCTGACCAGGACCAAGGAGGTGCACGCAACAATCATTGACATGTTTTCATTATCCATCAGTGTCCTGACCAAGGAGGTGCACCCTCCTGAGCAAGGATCGTTGACATTCATCATATAAGCTTCCTTGGCCAAGGAGGTACACACTCCTGAGAAAAGTGTTTTGTGAACTTCTTCTTTTTTTTTGCCACGTTCATTGCGCAGAGAGGCTTCTATAGTTTCCTGGACAATTGGTCAACACCAGCAGCTACTAGGGGGAAGTCACGCAAGGAGGCTCCTTAGGTCTCCTGTGTCAGTAGCAGCGTTTTCTCAACCAATGTTTTCAGCCATGTGTCAGACGAGCCAAGCGACAAGATTTGGCCAGCTCCTCATGCCGGTGAGCCCAAAGAGGTCGACTTTGTTTTGCAATTCTGAGAAGCCATGGAAGCAGGATGCAGCAACCTCAGCCCATATGGTTCAACAGCAGCTTCTCCGCAGGGTGGGCTCAAAGACAAGCATGGCTATTTGATGAACAGCGCATCTTGACTGCCGCCAGAAGTTTCGACTCGTTTTGCTCAAGTTTTGTTACTAAACTAAACCCCTATGTTTAACACTGACAGCTGAGAACTCGGAGACACGCCAGTTAGCCAAAAAGATCCGAGCAGAGCTGCGCTGTTGAAGCTGCTATTTCCCAGACTGAGATTCAGATACTTGCTGAAGATCATTTTTGGACGTCGCATCTGACCGTTGTCCGGAGTGTATCAACGTCTCATCGCCGCAGGGGGGACGCGGCTGAGGGGAAAAAATGGGTGAAGGGGTCACTTTGAACGGTGGCTGAGTGTCATTCAGTAATTTCTTTCATGGCGGCAGCCAGCTTGGCAGGCTTTCCTATCAGTTGATCAGTCATTATTATTGTTAGCTGCAAGCCGCATACATTTCCCTTTCTGCTTGACCGGCTCAAACCTAGGGATCAGCAAGTATGTCAGAGCAGTTGGGCAACTGTTCGCTTGGCGGCTATGATGATGATGCACATGTGAAAGCTTGCTCTGCAGGTGCAAAATGTGCTCGATGCACATGGGTGAAATATAAGCCTGTATGGCAGAAAGAATTAGCATGGTTGGACGCCAAAATGAATATGGAGAGTGGCAGTTGGGGCTTGGGCTGCCGACTGTGCCATGATGCTCAGGAAGTGAGTCCTGAAGCCATGTCCAAGTTTCCGGTTTCCAGGCATCACTTTGCAAGGTATGAAGTGAACAGTGGTGACATTCGTGTGGCTCGTTTCCGCAAACATGCTGCTTCGCCTGCTCACCGCACTGCTGAAAGTATGGCCGGTGGCAAAGCGCCAGCGCTTGAGGAATTTTTTCTCGCCAACCATGTCTGAATGGAAGTCAGTCATCTCTCACAGCAAGCCGGGTCACTGTCAAGCCGATGTGGACGATGCAGTCTCCTGTTGTCTATGTTTGCCTTCCGCGGGCAGCAAGTTGAGTTAAAAAAGATCGCTACTAAGGCCTCTCCCTACGATTTCCAGGAAGCAGTTCGACCGCCATGTGTTGCACGTGTTCACCATGTACAGCATGGCAGGCAAATACGCGTTTGGCCGCCGTGTTCGTACACGGTTTACCATGTGCTAACATGGCAGCCTCCTTTCTTTATCAAGGAGGCTGCGCCATGTTAGCACACGGTCTGCCAGGTGGTAGCACGGCAGGCAAATACGCGTTTGGCCGCCGTGTTCTTACACGGTTGACCATGTGCTAACATGGCAGTCCTGGTCTTTGAACTCTCCAGAGGACCCGAATTTAGTACGGGTCATGAGCATGGCAGCCAAATACGCGTTGACTCTTGCAGCTGGCCCGAATTTAGTACGGGTCACGAGCATGGCAGTCAAATACGCGTTGAATGCTGCAGTTGGCCCGAATTTAGTACGGGTCACACGCATGGCATGGTACAACCGTCTTGATTTTAGCAGGAGACATTTTAAGATCCTTGCAGTCCTGGCCCAGCTGTGAGTGTACCTCCAACTTAGTTATTACTTCCCACGGCTGAGTTTCTGCAGAGTGGGTGCGTAGTAGCCATGGCTCCCAAGAAGTCAGCAGCGAAGAGAGGCGCGGAGCTGTTGCCTGAAGCTGCTGAGCCCAAGGCCAAGGCTGCCAAGGCTGCCGCCAAGACTCCGAAAGCTAATGGCAGCCAAGACCCGGCACTCATGGCCAACTTGGCTTCTGGCAGCCCGGGGGTGTCTTCACAGGCGCTTTGCCTGAATGGTGGAGTTTGGGCAAAACATGCAGAGAATGTCCGACGTTTCAAAGAGCAGGCAGTGAGTGAAGATGCTGTGCAGCTCCGCCCCAACACAGCATTCTTTGAAGAATAGGCGGCATGTTTCCAGTTTGACCTGTTGAAAATCATTTGAGTCAGCTGCGCTAGCCGTGGTTACCACAATGCTTGCACATTCAGTGCTGAACATTGCCGCAATGCAATTCAACCTCGGTTTTGCTTTGTCCATCACATCGACCCATTCGACCCAGGTTTTTTGGCTCACAAAACTAGTCTAACCTGCAACATGGCAGCAGCAGGTGAGAAGAGATTGTCCCAAGGTGTCCTCAACAGAGCTGACTTGCAGTTGGGCGTCCAAGCCTTCTTGCGGTGGGATCCAGCACTCAAGGAGAAGAGCGCGTTCGAAATGGAAAATGCTCGTGAGGCTTTGATTTTTTGCCAGCCTTTCTTCAAGGAAGACCGCACCAGGTCATGTGCGCTTGCCTGTGCCATCATGTTTTTGACCATCCTTCAGATGACGCTGGACCGCCCTGGCACAGAGCCCACAGACTGTACATGGACCGCTCACCTTTACACCAGGTCTGGACAAATCCAGCCTATGCAAGAGAAGATCGAGAAATGTCCAGCTTTGACATCGCGCGACTTGCTTGCAGGAAAGGTTGGTGAGTTGGATAGCGCTGCTTCTTTTCTTTTGGGCGCCATCAACGCCATGCCTCATGACCTGCTGCCCCAGGCGCCGCATTTCGAAGGCTGTTTCGCTTGCCTGGACGACTTGTTGGTGCATATGAAGTTTCGACTTCACCAAAGTTCTTCTGCTAGTTAGGTTCGAGACCGAGGCATGTGAGCTGAACAAATGTCCTTTGGTGCTGCTCGCTTTCGCATAAACACAGTGGCCCCGAGAACGACCCGGAAACTTTCAAGGAGGACATCGCCCTTAATATCGAAACCTCCTGTAACGCCAAAGTTATTGATTGATCATAGCTCGACAGACATTATAAGGAAGGCCTTGCAAGGTCTCCTGCGCACAAGCCTGTTTTCAAGGAGGTGTTGCCTCCTTTGTTAAAATTTATGGGAGGCGCCGCTGTAAAGTTTGTGGAGGGCGCCACCGCGCAGAGCGGGGAGGGGCTCTGTGCCACAACAAAAACACCAGAATCACCTACTATACACATCGGATCTTTGCACAGTGACGCTTAGCATCAGTCATATTTGTTTTCTAGTTATAACTGATCGATTTGTAAACATCCGGAACACCATTCTTCAGTTTTAAATCCACATTACCACCCACTAAATAAAAGCAACGCCAATAACTTCATCACAGAAGCACCTTCAATCAGCACAAAGAACCTTACTAAATCCACCCCAGGAACGCGCCTCTACGGTCGAACAGTCTAGATACCATGTTTAGAAATAATTATCATGGGAATGTCAGACAAATCAAGCAACTGTGCCCAGCGATATGAGCCTCGATCTCCACTTTGGCTCCCTGTTCTGCACTTGATGCGAAGGGCCGGTCCATCTCCACTTGGAGGAAAGGTATCTGCCAAGCTGGGAGGCTGAGACCGAGTTGCAACTGAACGGCTACAGGAATTCGTCTTGATGTGCCATTCACTGTCGTTTCCTGCCTCGGTCTGGAACAACATGTCCTGGAAACAATCGACCGCCAGTGAACGTGTTGGAAACTTGAAGATGCGTACATGTCTACAACTATGACCAATCAGTCTTCATGTCTGTGTATATTTCAAGTATATATCATATAAAATATCATAAATATGTTGACACTTTTTCGGGTGTGCTGATTTGCTGTGCAGGCTTCAAGATCTGACGCGTGAAAAAAGACATGCCGTGCACCCATGTAAGTTGAGCCAAACCCCTTATCCCGGAGCTGAATGGAATTCTCTCCACCTGGGCAGTTCTTCTACGACTAATGCGGCAGCCCATTGTGAGACCTAAACGCGATCGAAAAGAGATTTGGCAAGTCAATTAAAGGATAGTGAAGGCAGCAACCCTTCAGCCCTCTGTGAAGTTAAGCCTGTTGAGCAAACTGTACCACGACAGAACCTGTTTCAGGCCCCGGCTGACGCCAGCAGCAACTACAGTCGAAATGGGTTCTTGGCGGGTCCAATGAGCCCTTGCCTTGACTTCGAGGCAGCAGCCATGAGTCAGGACAAGCACTGGGTTTGTCGTCAAATGCTGAGTTTTGTGTCTCAAGAATTTGGTCAAGACTGCACCAAGAATTGGTTTCGGGCTCCGGCTGAGGTCGACAGCAAAAACGCTTAAGAGGAGGCTCTGCTTGGCGGGTTCAGTCCTTAGCAGCCACCCGTCAGGACAAGCAGAACAAGCGTGGCTTCATCCATTCTTTCATCATCTATTTTCATCTATTTTCTGTTGATTCTCTTCAAAATGATTGCCTTTCTGACTCGAAAATTTGGTCGGATTTCAATGATGAATACGCAGCCAATACGCAAAGCGTAATGATTAATTACTCCGCGTCTGTTCCCACTGAAGCATGCGTGATCAAATGGGAAATGCGTGCACCTCCTACATTCCAAAGTGATCAACGACAGGGCTGTGATTTCCACCCGAATCGTTCAACCGATCTTTCCAATGCAGCCATTTGTAGAACCACCTGCTCTGTAGAACCGGTTCCACGTTGACTGGGCATCCCGGCTGACGCAGGGACTGGAAGGCCGGTGCAGTGGCAAAACGCGCGCTTGGCAGTGCAAGCTGATTGAATTCTGAATCCAAAAATGTTGAGGCTGTCAAGGGGGATGTATCCCCACCCAACGCAACTGTCTGATTTCCTTCAATCTGCTGGCTATATCGGCAATGCAGCATTCGACCGAACGGAACTACAAAAGGATCAAGGATCACAAAATGGTTTATTCAACCTGTTGTGTAAAGTAGGCGAAGCTCTGGTCAGGCTGGACCTACATGACATCCAACATGCACCCAACACACAGCTTGCAGAGACTCATTTCATAGTCAAATGGTCCAACATATTCAAAAATGTTTGTGAAATCTGTTGCTTGCTGTGAATCCAACTGGCTTCGTCAGTAGATCGCGTGGATTGTTGCCATTGTAGGACGCAAACTTCTGTCAGGCTGCTCGAATTGCTGCGGCGCATCGTCCGCAAAGTGAAGAACAGTTCTGACTATCCCAGTGTTCGCAACTTCTCCCTGAAGGGATGTTCTTCCTTGGCCCTTGATGCCCTTGGAAACTCCATTAATTTTTTCCGGTCTGAAGACTTTTTGACGACTCGGGCGCTCAAGCTGAAGAGACGGAGGCGTGGAAGTGGCCATGGGCCTGCCGTCATGCAGCGGGTTTGGCACAGTGGGAGTAACCCTTTACTTACGGTGATCAACCCGCTCCTCATGCTCCGCAATGCTGCGCTATATTGATGGTGCCTCTTGATGAATCCAGCCATGCCAAGTGTCATGACAGGTGCGGGGAATCTTTGTGACCAACGCAAACAGCTGCACGAATCAATTTACGCTGCAATGGTGGGCCGTGCTACAAAGGAACCCCATGACCCGGCAAACTGCTATCGGGATCTTCAGACCGTGGAAGTGGGGTGCGCTGTCAAGATGATAGCGCCAGAAGGGTCGCGCTGTCAAGATGAACAGCAGTTTTCAACACTAGCAAATGTCTAGACAGTGGGTTCCTACAAAGAAACGTCGGAAATCCGATGACGCCACTGAAAAGATACCCAGAGGAAACCAGATAGTAACTGAACTGGATTCCAATGCTAACCCCCGGATGATCAAACTCTGACCTCCCATAGGTGGCTGACGACCCTGCATGGCCAAGGCGTGCGCCTTTGCACTGATCCGAAAAACACGATCCGGAATTCTTCTTCTCGACCTGCGCATGTCGAGACTGTAGGACAAGGACTGGGGATGTTTTCGTGGAGCTCAGTATTGGGCTACAGCAAGTGAAAAGGGAATGAGAGAATCGGAGAAATCCCGGAAAATCAGGGGAAATGTCAAGACAATGAACTGCCGATGGGAAAATTGATGAGGTTCCCGTTCAATCATAGAAACCATCGAATAGGTGGGGACAATTACGACAATAAATTAAGAATTGTCGCAATGAGACCTATGATAAAATGTTGAAAAGCGAGGAATGTGCTGAACGAAATCCAAAAGGGCGCGGAATTAAGTTTGCATTTTTTTTTGCATTTTTTTTGTTCGGGGTTGGGTTCCTTGTTTTTTCATTGTTTTTCCAGCAGTTTTCATCAATGTTCCAATTGTTTTCGCTAGTTTTCCAGCGTTTTTCCTTCATTTTACATAGTTCTCTGTGATTTTCTAGCGCGTTCCATCAGTTTTCCATAGTTTTCAAAAATTTTCTAGCGTTTCCCTCAGTTTTTCGATGGTTTTTCTTGTTTTTTCTTCGCTTTTGCATTGTTTTTTCTATGTTTTTCTATATTTGCCGTTGCTTTTCTAGCGTTGTTCATCGATTTTTCCGTCCTACTTGTTAACTTGCACGGTTCATCCGGGGAACCACTTGCATATGCGTACAAGCGTGTCAGGTTTTGCGGGGTTCCCCTCAGAAATATCAAAATGTAGTCACTGGTAAAACCCAAGATTTGGGGGGTCGATAAAACAGCATATGCATATACATTTACAGGTACCATAACATATTCATATACCTTTAGATTTCCACAACTATCTTACCACTCGTGGGTCGCTAGAGGCCTATGATCGATCAGGCCCTTTCCCACTCAAAGTCCAAATTCCTGTTTTTCCGGTGTCACGCGTGGCGGACTGGTCTCAAGAAGTTCGTAGACAGCACTGCAAGCATTACTAGCTGAGCTTTGCAGGGCTTCCTGGACTAGCAGTTTTTTCGGTTGTGACATAGCAAAAAAAAGAACATGAGTTTGGAGCGAGTTTGGACTGAGTTTGGAGAGAGTTTGGAGAATCTCCAAAGTCACTCCAAACTCATTCCTCTTTTCCAAAGAAAAAATAAAATAATTAAAAAAAACATATGAGTTTGGAGAGAGTTTGAAGAATCTCCAAACCCACTCCAAACTCATTCCTCTTGTCCAAAAAAAATATAAATAGAAAAGAAACTGACAACGGAAAAAATGAAAACATATGAATTTGGAGCGAGTTTGGGGAGAGTTTGGATAATCTCCAAACTCACTCCTAAATCGTTCGTCTTTTCCAAACAAACATGAAAAAAAAATAAAGGAACAACCCTCTAAGAAATAAAATCATTTGAGTTTGGAGCGAGTTTGAAGTGAGTTTGGAGGACTCCAAACTCACTCCAAACTCATTCCTCTCTTCCCCCCACAAAAGATGAAAAAAAAGAACATATGAGCTTGGAGCGAGTTTGGGGAGAGTTTGAAGAATCTCCAAACTCACTCCAAACTCATTCCTCTTTTCCAAAGAAACAATGAAATAACAAAAACCAATGAAAACATATGAGTTTGGAGCGAGCTTGGAGAATCTCCAAACTCACTCCAAACTCACAAAGAAATCTTTGCTTGATGTTTTTTTTAAATGGGCTTTCTTTTTTTGGAACAAATGGGGAAAAAATGAGTTTGGAGAATGCCCAAACTCTCTCCAAACTCTCTCCAAACTCAAAGAAAATATGTGTTCACAACTTTTTTTGATTTTTTTTTGAGTGGTTGAATGCATATTTTTTTCAAAAAAAGTTGCGAACGCATATTTTTTTGAGTTTGGAGAGAGTTTGGAGATTCTCCAAACTCATTTTTTCCTCTTTTTTCAATTGTTTTTTTTTGAAAAATGATATCAAACAAAGATTTCTTTGTGAGTTTGGAGCCAGTTTGGAGTGAGTTTGGAGAGAGTTTGGAGAATCTCCAAACTCACTCCAAACTCACAAAGAAATCTTTGCTTGATGTCATTTTTCACAAAAAAATGGGATTTCTCTTTTTTTTTTGGAAAAAACTGGGGAAAAAAATGAGTTTGGAGAACATCCAAACTCTCTCCAAACTCAAAAAAATATGCGTTCACAACTTTTTTTGAGTTTTTTTGAGTGGTTGAACGCATATTTTTTTCAAAAAAAAAGTTGTGAACGCATATTTTTTTTTTGAGTTTGGAGAGAGTTTGGAGAGAGTTTGGAGATTCTCCAAACTCATTTTTTTCCCCAGTTTTTTCCAAAAAAAAAGAGAAATCCCATTTTTTTGTGAAAAATGACATCAAGCAAAGATTTCTTTGTGAGTTTGGAGTGAGTTCGGAGATTCTCCAAACTCTCTCCAAACTCGCTCCAAACTCATATGTTTCCATTTTTTCGTTGTTTTTCTGTTTTACTTTTTTTTGAAAAGATGAATGATCTTGGAGTGAGTTTGGAGATTCTCCAAACTCTCTCCAAACTCACTCCAAACTCATATGTTTTCATTTTTTCTGCTTTATTTTTTCTATTTTACTTGTGTTTTATTTGAGAAAGAGGAATGAGTTTGGAGTGAGTTTGGAGATTCTCCAAACTCTCTCCAAACTCATATGTTTTCATTTTTTTTGTTATTTACTTTTTTTGGACAAGAGGAATGAGTTTGGAGTGAGTTTGGAGATTCTCCAAACTGACTCCAAATTCGGTCCAAGCTCATATGTTTTCTCTATTTTACTTTTTTTTTGAAAAGAGGAATGAGTTTGGAGTGAGTTTGGAGATTCTCCAAACTCTCTCCAAACTCGATCCAAACTCAAATGATTTCATGTTTTATTGTGCTTTCCCTTTATTGTTTTTTCATTTTTGTTCGGAAAAGACAAACGACTTTGGAGTGAGTTTGGAGATTCTCCAAACTCTCTCCAAACTCGCTCCAAACTCATATGTTTTCAGATTTTTCTGTTTTTTTTTGTGCTTTTCTATTTATTATTTATTCTACTTTTTTGGGAAAAGGGGCATGAGTTTGGAGTGAGTTTGGGGATTCTCCAAACTCACCCCAAACTCACATGATTTCTATTTTTTCTGTGTTTTCCCTTTATTGTTATCTTAAACATTTTTTTGGGAAGAGAGGAATGAGTTTGGAGTAAGTTTGGAGGTTTTTCAAACTTCAAACTCTCTCCAAACTTACTCCAAACTCGCTCCAAACTCATATGGTTTCATTTTGTTGTTTCTTCTTTATTGTCAACTTATTGTTTTTTCATTTTTTTGAGAAAGGAATGAATTTTCATTTTCTTTACTGGAACTTTTTAAAGAAAAAGGAATGAATTTGGAGGTTCCCCAAAGTCTCCAATCTCGCTGAGGGCACTTGTAGCTACTCCGCTGGGACCTGAAATTACATATTCTGGCCGCTGTTTTATTGGAACATATCAAATAAACCTTGTGAACGCATATCACCCGGAGCGGCTAAGCTCGTGCAAGTTATCAGAGTCCTACTCATTAGTTTTCCCTCTTTTGCATGATTTTGGACTTGGTGTTGTTGTTGTTCGTTCTTTGTTACTGTTGTTACTGTTGTTCTTGTTGTTCTTGTTGTTCTTTTGTTGTTCATGTAAAAATGAAGAAACTGAAACCTATGGAAAAATGAAGGCAACAATGTAAAAAAATGTTTCATTTAGGGTTTCTTTAGGGTTTCATTTAGGGTTTCATTTACGATGTCTTTGGCGTTTCATTTAGGGGTTTCATTTACGGTTTCTGTAGGGTTTCATTGATGCTTTCATTTAGGGTTTCTTTACGGTGTCATTTAGGGTTTCTTTAGGATTTCACACACATCAACTCACATAGATATGCTAGGAGGCCAGAATCAACAAGTGTCCTGAGATACTTTTTTCAGACATAAAAAAAGAGCTCGTTAGGACACTTGATGTTGAAAAAGGTTGCAGTTTCTCTCCGATAAGCATGCATATAAACTCAAAGGTACACAGGGAAAATTCTGACTGCCATGCAACCATTGTGAAACACAATTCAAGCAAATATAGTTGGAGAACAACAGTTCAACAAGTGTCTTGAAATAGGGTCTTAAGAATTTTATGAACAGCAAGTAGTTGGGACACTTGTTGAAAACAGGTCTCAATTCCTCTCACAACAGCATGCATATAAGCTCATATTACGACTGTAGTTTCTGTGCAGTTTACATGCAATTTATATGCAGTGTATTCTATGAAATTATGAAATGTTATATGCAAACTACAATACTACACATACATTCAACAGAAGTGCGGCCAAAAGCCAAAAGCCAAGTGAAACCAAAGCAAAAAAAACAACAACAAAAACCAAAAAACAAAAGCCAAGAGTCAAGTGAAGCCAAAGCCAAAAGCCAAAAGATCCAAAAGCCAAAAGCCAAATGGGCATGCAAATTGGCTCCAAACTGCAGCAAATAGCACGCAAATCAGAGATTTTGGTTCCAAAATGCAGCAAATACAAGCCAGAAGCCAGAAACCGAAGGAGCCAGAAGCCAAAAGCCAAAAGCCAGAAGCCAGAAGCCAAAAGCCAGAAGCAAAAAAAAATGAAAAAAAAGGCAAAAAAAATACCCCTCCAATCCAAAAACCTGTTTGGAACTCAAACATGTTTTTATTGCTAGAACGGTTCAAAAGAAACACGTGGAAAACGATTGACTAAGCTACCATTTTTATCCATTTTTCCTATACTGATCAACCCCCTGCCGTATGCTAGCCTATGCTCCTCCATGCTGCGGTATGCTGATGGCATCTCTTGATGATTCACAAGGGCCATGCCAAGTGCAGGGAGCCTTTGTGACCAATACAAACAGCCGTACCAATCAATGTGCTCTACAATGGTGGGTATGGTCCTGCTACAAACGGAAATCCTATGTAAGCCTTTTACGCCATACGACCGGTCCTTGAATTTGGCTGGTGACTTGACTCCCTCAGGGTCGATTTCAAGCCATCCATCCAAAACAGCCTCGCCACGCTAGAACCATGCTACGCTCATATGACGCCAAACAGTGTTCATTCAGAAACCACAAAGCAGAATCCATCACTGGAGTGAAAAAAACGAGGCACATGGCTCTGAAACAGAAAGTTCCAGTGCCTCTGAAGCAAACAAAAACGCGGGAAAGGCCCAAGTCATTGGTGACACGGAATATTCCAAAATGATGGACGGTTTGCTGAACCAAAATTAAAATCTAAACTACACAATAGCGGCATTTCAAGAAAAATGTTGATTTATATAGTTCTTGTTGACTTAAAGAAACATAAGCCAACCAAAACAGGCATTCCACCATCAGAAAAAAACGGCAAAAAGGATGCCATGCCTTGCCAGTGGATCCCAGCATCCTTCAGGCGGATAAACCTCATCCGTAATGGCACGGTGCCGATGCATTGAATCCATGGGGGCATCAAACCCGGAAGATGTGGAAAATCCCTTGAACTGAAGCTTTCGGAGGGGGAAATGAAGGAACATTCTGATTATAATGGAAGTTTCACCTGCAAAAAGGGAATTGGACCAAATTGACCTGCCGGACCAGGTCGCTTATCATATCCCCTTTGTAATATGGTCGGTTCCTTGGCGGCCTGATTCTGAAGTTTCAAAACACATCCCCAGTGCAATTTGGACATGAACCTCTGAAACTCACGTGAGCCCACGTGGCCCAGGTTCAGCAAAAAGTCAACTCTGAAATTAGGTCAAGGAACGGTTCGACACATTCATTTGTTTCAAAGTAGGCCTTCATAAAATCACACCTCAACCGCCCTGGCCCTGCTATCTGACCGGGGGTGATGATTAGCGCCAAAAGGGTGGTGTGGACCAAAATTTGCCTCTATTTCAAACAAAGCACATCCATTCAGCGCTGAGCGCAGCCCCTTGACTCAATCAGTTTTGTCTTCTGAACCATCTTGCACATGTTGAAGTTTTTCTATTTCTTTCAATGTTACGCATGACGTAAAGAGATGCTTTCGCACCTTTCTCCAGCCCTTCTTGGGGTAGGTTGGGCTTATTTTGTTGCCACTTTCAACCCAAACGTGAGAAACCTCCTCATGTCTGTGATCAAACTCCGGTCAAGGGGGATGTTGGGCCAACGCAAGGCCGACCTGGGGTTAAAAGCTGCACAGAGGAAAAAAACAACACACACGGACATCTTTGATTCATCCAAAATTCCCAAGGAGTGCGATAGTCAAAACCCCTCAACTAATATATGGAAAATACCTGGGATGATCTCTGAAGTCAGTACATGATGGGTGGTGTATACACTCCAACTCTGTATCCAAGGATTGAGCTCTCCACAAGCCAACTCCGAATGTGATCCATGGCTGCGCGCACCTTCGTGGTGAAGGGCCATCTCCACACCGTAGACGTGGCGCGGCGTCGGCGTCGAAAGGAAGAGTTGCAGGGCCACCTTTCCGGTGCCCATACCTGGGATGGTAGATGGGATATTAGATGGGATAACCCATGATATTAATATTAGATGGGATATTATTAATATATATATAATGATATGTCAATAACATTAATAATAAACATAAAAATAAAAATAGTAATAATATATAATAATATCCCATTAATATAGATGAGAAAGGTGGATATTATCATTATTAATGTATATATATATATTACATATATTTACATATTTTGTAGATGGGATGGGATTCACCTTTACTGTTGAGGTATATTTATCGGAATCATGCCTTAAGTTGTCAGGATGAAAAAACAAGTTACATGTATATGGGATGATAAACCTACCGTGTGTGTATAAATATATATATATATATATATATATAATAATATACATAAGTAAGTCAATAACTTGAAATAAACAATTAAATACATGAATATGGATGATATGCCCATGACTTTGGATGTTGATTGAAAGTTGGTTGTGGCCCATTTTTTTCGAATGAAACATGTACAACGCAGTCAAACTCTGACTCCATTGGGAGATGAAACCAACAAAACAGAACATAGAATCGCCGTGGGAACATGGTTCACTGGGCCAATCATAGAGATATGGGCAAGCATTGGAAAATCAAGTCGCAACCATCAAAATGATGAAATGTTGAGACCGAGTATCAGCTCACAAATTGATGGTTGTCTCAAAAACAAACCCCGTGTTGGAACAAACCCACTGTGGGTGGCTAGCTGGTTGATGTTCTGTATCATAGTTCAAGTGGGAAAGGTCAAGCAATTTGGGCAAGTTCAACTGTGGAAACTTCCCGAAATGGTATGACTTTTCACTTTTCCAAAAACAGCTGTGTCTCCTAGACCCAGAGCGCCCAGCCCACCAAAATTGGTCCAAGATGCCGAGTTCCAAAATTGGACCTTCCAACTCTTGGTCCTGCGGCTGGGTCCATCTTTCCGTACCCGAAAAACAATCGGATTAAGTCGTCTCTGTCTCTGGTAAAGCCAATAGTAAACCTCTGTTGGGGATGGTTTATTAGCAAATTCATGTTGAAGAATTTCATGTTGAAGAGTTTAGATTCATTCAACTTCTAAAAACATGGACGCAATTATAGTGAGACAAATCAAATATAATTGCTCGCATCTAGCTATTATTTTTCTTAGCGTCATTCCGTTCGTCCTCATACCGGCTTTCACCCAGAAAAGAAACAACTTGGATCCAGACCTCTCCCAGGGAAAACCGAACATGTTTCACCTGTTGGTTGTTTCACCCCAACAAAATCGTCTATTAGGGGGCCGTCACCCCATCTTGGAAACAAACACCGGACAAACATCGAAACGCACCAGCCAGTCCATAGATAGATAAATTTATATATATATATATATTATAAATTACATCATGAATATCATATATTATCTCATATATATAAGAACATACTGTTATATAATTATATATATATATCATGTATGAATTTTGTCCAACAATGGGGCTATTCCACTTTGAGACAAACCCCCTATTTTCGGGGGATGTTAGAAATCCCCAATGACAAACCATAGCTTGGGGGTGGTCAGTCACATACCTCGCAAAGAAAAAACATACATAGGCAAGTAATATATGCCTGTTCATGGCAAAAGATTCAAGTATCAAATTATCCAGCCAAGGTTTCCTCATACATACTATACTATATATATAATATGATAATATACACTAAAATAAATCTTAAATATATAATATAGTATGATAATATGCACTAAAATATATCTTGAAAATATAATATAGCATAATAAAATATAATATAAAATAATATAATAAAATATGATATAATATAATATAATATGATATAATATAATATAATATAATAGTCTAATAAAAATTAAATAATAATAATACCAATAATAATATTAACAATTATTATTTTTATTATTATTATTATTATATATAATATCTGTTTGCAGCACATAGCTAGCCAAACATCCGTGATTTCACCGTCCTGGAAGAAGGCTTCAGCCAAACGGGCCACGCCTTCAGGTAGCAGTTCACCTTTTGCCGGGACAATGTCAGGGAAAGACACGGGGAAAACAACGGCGGAACATGACATAAACTGTGGGGAAACATGAAAAAATGGGAAAGAATCCATGATAATCATTATTAAACATGATTATGATCTGATTGTATGATATTTTTTCAAGAACTCATATGATAATAATATGATGATTATGAAGAATCATGATTATGAAGGTTATAATTAATGATTGTCAAAATCCATTCAAAAATGTCGTGCTCCGATGGCGATCTATCCCCGGATGCTTCAAACTGGCGTGTCCTGTCGTCGGAATGGCCCACTCAGAAGATGAGTTACTGAGATCTTCGACATGAAGAGACGATACAAAACGATGCGCAAATAGAGTTTCCAGCGACAAAAACTACGTTTCTAATTACCAAAGCTGATTAGCTGTTTTTTGCCAGAAACTTAAGGATTCTATCTACCCATCTAAAAGCAAATGTTAACGCAGTGTACAAACATAGACAAGGCTATCTATATTCCCTCAATGCTAAATTCATAAACAGTGTCCGAGCATATACAACCGACATTCGATAGAACATTGTCTTCAAGCCATATTCTACCAATATTGACCCTCCAACTTCCACCATATTCAACCTTTTGTTTCATCCCTTTTCAAACTAACAGCCATGCGACCGTAGAGTAAGCTGCTTCCATCTTCCAACACGGTCTGCACATCCGCAGCACCAACGGCCTGCCATATGATCCCCATCTAATTCTCCCATGGAATTTCTCATTTTGCAAGGAACTAATCTCACGTCCCATACGAATTACCATCTAATCACATGATCTCACATGATTTGATGTATGTGGTTAAACCCCCTTGATTTTGCTGATCAACATTCCAATTTTTGCTACCCTCTTGTAATTCAAGATTGCTATGGCTCACACGACCCACTTATTGAATCTTATAAACATGATGATTTACCTATCAAACATTGCAATTTTCATAGATCTTCCACTTCGCGCTTTGAAAAAACATCAGACGGGCCGGCAGGATGGTTCTCCTGCCAAGGACACTGGTCGATTTTCCAATCAGTTGAACAATTGTCAAAAGATTGCTGGAAAAAATATGGAGAAAAAGTTGGACAACGGAAAAAACTATCGCCGCACTCACAACAATGACCCTAGACCAACTCTGCGATTGAACGACTTCACAGGAACATTCCGCACTGCCTAAAACGGTGCAAGTTCTGCTCAGCAAAGCTTCTGGCAGGGCCTTGCAGCGATGAAGCATTGCGTCAACCGAGGGGAAATGATTGAGCTGAGCGTTGAAGTGTGACAAGTATTGTATAGAGGTTCAGTTTTCTTCCAAAAATAATTCAAAAATACAAAAAAGGAATCTACATGAATCATGGTTGGTCGGATAAATCATGTAATGGCATTTACTGTCAGGTATGCTTATCCTTTCATCCATCCTCTCAACTACTAGCTAGGGACTATAGGTATTTTCAGTTTAGACCCTTTTACCCGGGTCTAATTGAAATTTCCCTATGCAAATCGACCTATTTTGCACCAACCATCTCAGACCTACCATAGGGATCCAGCAGAGATCATCAACATGCTGATGTTGTATGTTTCTGGAAACTGGTAACTTCAGATTAGACCCTTGGGTGCTGGTTGTCAGCAGCAACAGCGCCGACCCTGCCGCCAATGCTTGAGGTTGACATGGGTGATGCGGTTGCTTTCCGACATAAGCAGAAGTGGGAACTTGGATGTGTAACCGCTGTTTGGCGCACCTTTGCTGCCAAATCTGGAGGCGGGCAGCTTGTCGCAAGACCGCTTGCGCGTGGCAACTTGCATGCGGCTCGGGTTGTGCGCGCCTGGTTTTGTGATAAAGCTGTTTTTTTTCCACTGGTTTAGTTTGATCGTATTTGTTCTCCAGACTTCTGCAGTGCATTTCTTTGATGACGAACCCTTCAGATTCTAAGGCGCATCTCCGGACTCAAGCGATGACAAGGTCTACTGGTGCTCTCGTGGGTCTCCAAGTTTCATCATTTCATACGAATGCCTTGGCCTGAAGATGAACGCCGATGTCACGAAAGGTGTTGACGGTATCAAGATGAAACTTGATGAGGCCATTTTCTTCGGGCAAGGGAATGGGAGTCCAAGTAGGGTCTGCTTTGATGTTGCGCACTTGATGAAACCATATGAAACCATTGTGATTGTTTTTGGGAGGATGGTTGCAATCGTTGTTTGACATATGTTTCATTCCCAGGGCTGAAATCAGCCTTGGTGTCACACCTGTGGGTCTATTATGGTTTTCCCTATCCGTTGCTTGTATGAAACGTTTGCTTGAAGGCAGCAGGATTTCATTTCAGACCCTAATGCAGCATCACTTCATCACAGACCATCACTGCCAAGATCTGCCGAGGATACGTGATATGATGAAACCATATGAAACCATTGGGTTTGTTTTTGGGAGGATGGTTGCAATCGTTGTTTGACATATGTTAATTTCCCAGGGTTGAAATCAGCCTTGGTGTCACACCTGTGGGTCTATTATGGTGTTCCCTATCCGTTGCTTGTATGAAACGTTTGCTTGAAGGCAGCAGGATTTCATTTCAGACCCTAATGCAGCATCACTTCATCACAGACCATCACTGCCGAGGATACGTGATATGATAAAAACAATATGAAACCATTGTGTTTGCTTGTGGGAGGATGGTTGCAATCGTTGTTTGACATATGTTAATTTCCCAGGGTTGAAATCAGCCTTGGTGTCACATCTGTGGGTCTATTATGGTGTTCCCTCTGTTGCTTGTATGAGAGGTTTGCTTGAAGGCAGCAGGATTTCATTTCAGACCCTAATGCAGCATCACTTCATCACAGACCATCACTGCCAAGATCTGCCGAGGATACGTGATATGATGAAACCATATGAAACCATTGTGTTTGTTTTTGGGAGGATGGTTGCAATCGTTGTTAGGTCCATTCAGGGGTGGTGGTTCATCTCATCAAAGTTGATCAAAAACCAGCAAAGGGTCTAAGATGAAGTTCTCTATGAGTTAGGCAAAAGGTCTAATGTGAAGTTCTCACTTTCCAGCATGTACATGTTGAGGGTCTGAGGTGGTAGCTGGCCAGGGTCTAATCTGATAGAAAAACCATTTTAGACCCTTTTTTTTTTGATCCCTAAGCACAAGGCTTCAGACCTTTTCGTAGTTGGGGGGATTTTCATCCCATGTAGTGTTCTTGACCTCAGGAAGTTGGAACCTGGTGCGCAAAGGGCATTCATCCTTTGTAGGCCAATATCAATGATTTCTTTGGACTGTCCATTCTCTTTTTCCAACCACACAAGCTCCAAACTTTTGAAGCCATGAAGGAGCCTACTAAGTAGATCCGATACAAAAATCATGAGCGCTGAGCAATCACAGAAACTTGGCCACCATTCGGGGGTTCCAGCCGTTCAACTTTCCAGCCGTCCTTTCCAAAGATTCAACGCAGATCCCAAGGTCCCATGGAATCCCCATGGACGCCCTCTGCAGCGCCTGGTTCCAGCTGTGAAAGGTCACATCCTTAGGACGGCTGGCACCAATGAAGCTCAGACATTGGTTCAACATGTTGATATTCCTCTCCCGAGATCCCCCGAGCTTGGATAGGTCCCAGGTAAGTGGGAGAAAGGCTTGGCTCTTTGTTAACCGGGCATGAGGGTGAGCAAGATGCAACCCTTGTAGTCTGCATGTTTTTTTCCTTCCATACTACTTGCACTGTGCTGGGAATGATCACTTCAAGCCAGTCGTGTGAACGTAAGCAACTGGCTTCGCACTGTCCAGAACCCAGCTACTCGTGCCTGCATTCCTTTCAGCATCAAACTCATGGTCCAAACCCAAATAGACATTGACATCTAGAGAATCAAATAAGCAACGTTGTTTATATAATTTTATATACATGTCTTGAACCCCAAATCAAATGCTCTCAGAGATGCTTTTCCTTAGAAAATGTCAAGGCGCAGGATATCATTGAAATGTGTTGTCCTGCTGTTAACATCGCTAGAAAATCCAATCTGCCTATATAAGATGTGGGGGTAGCTGATTGCCATTGATTGCCTATGGAAAATTCTCAGGCATACTCAGGCATATGACTGGGCCATGTGTCGGATGAGAACCGTTTTTCTCTGCATTTGGGGTCGCGCTGCTTCACCTGGAGCCCAGTCACAGCTCCAGGTGATTTCAGCACCATGGAAGTTCAACACCTGCCGCTTCGCCACTGGGCGCCACAGGACATGGGGGATTTCTTCCGAACTGCGAAAGGATTTCTTGGAAGAGAACCCACCAGCAAAAATGGGCTGGTTCTGCCCAAAAATGGGGAATTTCTCATGGCTCCAATTACCGTGGCTGGCATATGCTGCACCATGTTGCACTTGCTCAGAAGAACTGGCTACTGCCCACCACTAATCAAAGGTGGGCCCGTTCACTCCAAAAGTAGATTATTGCGACATGGTTCTCTGAGCCAAACATGAAATCCCAAAAATGCAAGATAACCACCTGAGCCAACCCCTGCCCAATGTGCGCCTATCTTGGCACACTGGAGAAGCTTCTGCACAGCAAAACAACGTCACATCTCATGGCCCTGTGTGGCCACCCTGCGCCAACTTTTCAAGAAGCTGTTGGCCTTTCGCTTGGATCTCAGAGTTGCCGTTTCTCATGGCAGCGTCGATGACGTCAGCTGCCAGGTGTTCACGCAACTTGGCTCTTCCCTCGCTGGTCTCGGCCAAATTTCCGAAGGTTTGAAAAGCCCACCATTGCACACCAGTGCTGGTTGTGTAGTTTCGCAGGGCATCCAAAATGACCTGATCTGCTCCAAGACTCAGAAACCTCAAGACGTTCTGGTGTTCCGTGGTCAATTTAGCCAGCGCCACGCAGCCTTCCTTTTGCACCGCTTCATTGCTGCAGTGCTCCGTCATGGCCCTCAAAATAGCCTCAGCGCCTCCCAGCGTCATCAATGTCTCTTCGTTTTCCGGTCGGTTCAATCCCAAATTCTTCAAGCACCACACAGCTTGTTCCTGCACTTCCGGGCTGGACAAGTGTGCATCCATGGCGCACAAGATGGCTTGCATACAGCTTGCGGCCGTCACAGCTGCAGGGAGTTCGGAGCTCTTCTTTGGAAGGACATGGCGCTTGATGAGGTCACAGATTTGGGCTGCCACCTGTGCCGATGCCTGGCCCTTCATCATGAGATCAAACAACTTTGCCACATCACAGCCACTTTCATCGTGAAGGGAACAATTGCCGCCACATATAACGGGATCTTTGCGTCACAAGAGTCGCACATGCTTTGTGCTTCTTCAGAAAGGCAATCATCCCTCACAGCCAGGAAATCATGGCTTGGAAGTTGGTGGGAACAGAAGCAGCGCAGCATCAGGAGTAAAGGCCATTGAATCACACTAGAGGCAAGGAACAGTCGGAGGGCAAAGCCGTGTTCTTCCCACAATGCCGGGACTCCACTCCCAAATGCACTGGCCATCCAGATTGCAGCCACCGACTCGGCACAATGGAGAAGTGCATGCAACTCCACATTCACCTCGGATGAGACTTGGAATCCTGGACATGCTATTTCAGTTTTATGTGTTCTTCAAAATCATGTGCAATGCGCTGCTCTCTAATTCTCTGCACAAAGCCCACAGCAGAGTTGGGTTTACAAGCATGGAACTTGACGGCGAATGATAGCGAATGTTTTTCGTGCGTCATTTCGCCGTGTTCACCAAGTGTAACAATGATATGCCCCAAATTCCCGTGTACATTGTCTTCATATTTTTGAAACAACAGTAATTAGCATGATTTCCACCATTGGCAGAGACTTGCAAAGAACAAATCAAGGCCAGGAAGCAGAAAGCAAAGCACCGTCCCCGCTCAAAAGCAGTGGCTCGAACGAGCTGAGCGTATTGGGAATCGCAAAGAAGAGTTTCAGGCGATTCTTGGTGCAGTAAAACACCAGACCTGCTTGGAGAATGCAATCAGCGATCCATAGAAGGGAGCCCCCGTAAGCAACATGCCAAAGCTGAAGTTCCTCCCAAGAAGCGTCACTAAGTCAAAGCTGGACGTTGAGAATGCTGGGAACAAGACTTTCTGATTCACAAATTCCCTGCTCGTTGATCAACAAAAACAAGGAGCAGAAATAGCCAGTCCTCACGCAATGCCAGCTGAAACAGCGGGAAAAGAAGCAATCGGCTGCAGACCTATGCGGCACCAAGCGTTCAATTGAAAAAGGCACTACAAACCAAAGGCGAGGGTGGCTCCAAACACCGGACGCAGGGTACCCTTGAACCATATCCACAAGGCTTTCGGGTTGGATTTCATTGCAGGGTTCATATTTTGGGACGTCATGCTCCAAATGCCAAATCGCTTAAATCCGAGAATATGTCCCTCTGTTCAGCTAGGTCATAGTAACGTTCGCAAAATGCAACCGACCTAAAACAACCAGGCCTGCCCCGGATCGATTCCTGTAGGTTCCTCTCAGTTCATCTGAGGGCGCGGCCGCCAGCCATCTGTAGAGCAACAGGGCGGCATACGCCACGGACTGCGGCTTGGCTAGGCCGACCACAACGGCCTGCCCCTGTCGATAACGACTTACATGACCGAACCTGCGGGGCAAGTGGTGAAAGCAACTCTTCAATGACATCTTTACCATCTTTCCTTGATCAAGCCAGGTTGACAAAAACCAGTAGAAAAAACTAAAGGCAAACGAAGAGTTTGGAATCTGGAAGATTTTACAAAAAGGTTTCTCCAATCCAAATATCTTCGGCCGGGCCACTTATCGATCTTGGAGAAGGACTCACCAAGTGAGATCAGACTCAGCAGAACCTGAGGCGACAGGGCCAACTATCTAGGCCTTTCAATCCTAGACGTTCTGGATGCAGTTCGGACATGTAAAGCTGCAATCAATGCGGGATCACAAAATCTGCATCGAGGCGTGGAAAGACCGTCGCAGCTTTGATTGGAACATGATTCAACTGCTCACGGAACAGCGGTCTCCCCTGCAAACCATGTATTCCTCAACTCCAAAAGGTCCATTGCAACACAAGCTGCGATCTCTTGGGGAGAGTTGGGGGGCCTTCAGCCATCTTGGCATCAACCAAGTGATTGCACAACTGAGAAAATTAAATAAGTGCAGCTTGAAGAGGACTCGCTAACTGACCTCCCCCAGATGACGCTTTTGGCCGAGCAGCAGAACATGCCAAGAGGGATGGCCACTGCAGTGGTCCGTGACGAAGTGCCGCGTACAGCTGCACAAACGAACTCAGCATTGCTTCCCCAAATGTCTCACCAATGATTGAGGAAGCCATCAATGCGGTGAGACCTTTATCTCTCAGCCGGCGGTCAAAGGCATCAGACTTGTATGTGGCAAATTTTGCATCTGCGAATTGCCAAAGTGCGAAGAAGAAGCAATACAATGGTATGACATGCAGAAATGTTAGCACGGCCGTGCAGCCCCTTATAGGCTGCAATGCCTCGCTTGCACTGCCCATACCTGCAGATCCTATCACACTTGTGGTCACCAGTCCAGCCAGAATAGCCAAGGCATTAAGCGTGAAATATTGATAGTGCTGAGCTTGCCAGAATTTGCTCATGACCAAGGCATCACTGACCAAGTCACCATAGAAAAGCGCGACTGGCAAGACGACATGGACAGACATGTGGGTCAATTTAGTGAAACTTGTCTCCATGGCCTGAATCATGGTGCACCCGGTCTTCATGGGCGCCCACATGCCGACAAGTAGAGGAAGCCCAAAAAACACCAGAAGGACCAGAAGGACGAGAA